TAAATAAATAAATTTCGATAATTATCAGGTTAGTTTGGTAAAAATACATTTATATAGATTCTATGTTTTTTTTGTCCCATCCGCATCTATATCATTAAATCTTTTAAGATCTTATTTTTAACCTTCTAAAGATTTTTATAAATAATTTACAAAGTAAACTGACAAAGAAAATATAAGAGCGAATCAATTTTGCGTAAGGCCCAATGTTGCGTTAGGTTAAAAGAATATTTGAGATTTGTTTTAGAACTCTAAATTTTACTCCCACTCGAAATAGTTTGAAACATTACCCCTCAATTCAGCGTGAGGCCCAACGTTGCGTTAGGTTAAAAGAATATTCGAGATTCGTTTTAGAACTTTGAATTTTACTCTCACTCGAATGGTTTGAGACATTACCTATGTCCATAATCTCGCATGAACATGTAAATCACTTCACTTTTTAATATGAATTTTACTTAAAAGAATGGCATATGTTATTCATAAACTCGCTAGTTTGAGTTGAAAGGAATAAGACACTTGTTTGAATCTCCCTCTCCCTCCAAAGAACAGTCGTGTAACATTGAAGTTGGACATAACACATACATCAAATGGTTCTCTCTCTCTCCAAATACTCTTCACACCCATGTATACCCCCCCTTCTCTCTCTCAAATTACTCTTCACACCCATGTATACTGTATATACCCTTAGTCAAGCACCGATGTCTATACCACTGAATGAAACCTTAATTATGTATTCACTGAACCTTATCGATTATTGTCGACATGTAGAGCTCAGCTACGTAAATCAAACTAGCTCGACAAGCTCACTACTCGTCAACTATCAGTCATAAAACCACAACTGATCATCATCGACGAGTTAAATGTCGACTACAGTCCAACTCGCCAATAAACAGTTACAATCAGCTCAATGGCTCCCAGTGGACGATCCAAGACTAATCCAACTCGACAATAGTCTTACTCGTCATATCAGTTCGCCATTGACTAAGTCAAATTGATGACATCAGCATAACTGTTATAGATAAATGGTTGCTTAAATCATGCAACCATACCCCGAGATATTTGCCACTACTTACTGATAATCAGCTCGGAGTAGTTATCTCCAAAAGCCCTATATAAGAACTACGCATTGGTTTGATTCTGGACTAAGTAACTCTCATTTCAGATACGTAGGCAGCACTCAAACACTTGATTGATCAAACATCTTCAATCACAAAACACCATCTTTTTCACCTCTAATCATCTTCTCCGATCATCACCTAAACGGGCCATCACTTGGTCTATGTGAATACACACTGTATTTACATATACCCCCTCCCCCCTCTCCCCCACTTTGGATAATTATATTTGGACTTTAAGATTTTAAGTACATAGTGATAGTGGTGTTATTTAGTTTGGATCGGTTTACTTCGGTTTCTGAAATTCAAAACCAAAAAACAAATTGATCGGATCAGATTGATTTAGTCGGTTTGGGTAGTTCATTTGGTTTGTTCCACAACCCTAACATCTAAATGCTATAAACATAAATTCCACGCAGAACCATTCTGCGTGCTACCTTTTTTTTTAGAGTTTTAGTGAGTTTTAATTTTTCAAAAAAAGTAACACGCATAACTATTATGCTTTCGTTAATTTATAGTATTTTTTTAATTTTGCCTCCTGTTATATCTTGTGTATTTACCATCACATATAGCATGTCTAACACTTTTAGCACGCTACAACTATTATACAAAATATTGATTTTGCCTGTTGCATTGCAGATGGCCAGATGCTCTTACTAACTTAACACCAATGCAAAGAATAATTAGCTGCAAATGAGTAATTATATCGCGACTTTTTTAAGCAAAAAGATGCTATTTTAAGGAACATGTAAAGAGAATTGTAAAAAGTTATTCTGGGTCCTGGGCTATGACGAGTTACTTCTCACAGCTTATCCCGTGAAGTCAGATTTAAGCCGTCATCTCGAAAATATGTTGGACCGCAAAATATAAAAAAAAA